GCTATTTAGTTGTTGTTTAATGTTTATTTCATGTTTTTATTTTATGTTTAAATGATATCTATATAGTTACTTTAAATGATAAATAGTATATGTTGTGCCATTTTAATTCCATTTCCATTTTCAGTTTTCAAGTAGTATTTCATGTTAGTTTCATTCGGTTTTTGCCTATGGTCACCTACACATGTTCTCTTCATTTTTAAGTCTATTTTGATGCTGTATTCATAGTTTTCATGCTGTATGTATAAATTTTCAGTTTTGGCTACATTTTGCTCATTAGGACAGTAGCTTAGGTTAGATTTCATGCTACTTTTATGCATTTTTTTAGTCATTTTCAGTCAGTTTTAGGAAGTGCTTACTGTACTTTTTTGGCTTGTTTTCATGTCTATTTTAAGGTGGAAAAACAGTTTTATAGATTCCTTAAGTAGGGTCACATTTGCATACAATTTTAGTTCATAGGTCTAGTGAATTTGCATTTTATATGTCATGGTTTGCACTTAAATTTTTTGTATGTTTTGGTCAGTTTTGGGGATAGTCTTCATGCATCATTTTAGGCCATTTTTATGTCCATTTTAAGGTAGTTCAATTAGTCTTTACAACACCATATAGTTTTAGAGATTTGCATGTACTATACTAGATGTTCGATAAAAAGCCCCAAAAACATTTGTTTGATTTTTGTTCGATTTTAGCTTTGCTTTTAGGTAATCATTAGTTTCTATTTTTAGGACATTATTTTATGCATTCTCATGTCATTTTCGTGTTTAAATTTTGTTCTTTGCATTTTATGCATTTTAGGCTAAGTTAGGATTTTAATTAAGTTAATTTTCAAAATAAAAATGCTAACTATCCTTTTTATATTTTGTTAGGTTTAATTTTTCATTTTAATTGCTACCTTCCAAGTTTTAATTTTTATCCCCTTCTCTCCTTAATTGCAATTTCATTTTATGCCTTTAATTTTGTTTTGTTTAATTTAAGGTTTTGTAATTTTCTATTTTTAGAAACTGCCACTTTTAATAACTTTCAATTTAGGGCTCTAATTTATATAATTTGTAGTTGAAATTGATGTCATTTACTTGGTAGGTTTATTAGATTTAATTAAGTTAATTAGTTCAATTTAAAAATTTTCGCAGGACCAAATATATTTAAAGTATCAAAATTGGTACTTACCCTTGGTCTAAAACTCTCAATCCCTAAAAAGACAATATCAAAAATACTTTCAGTTATTATTACTTTTGTGATCCATACACTTGTGGTACTCTTGAAAGGTAAGCAACATTTAGCCATTAAACACCATACACATACATAAAGCCTTCTCAAGCTCTTTCTACATCATATTTAATTGATATTGGAGGCCATTGAGGAATGTTTTGGAGCCATCCTTTTCGATTCATCTTCACCTAACAATTTGTTGTGCTTAGGAATACTCTTGGGAAAAAGCTTTCAAAGCATTAGGGTACCTCTGTGTGGCTATTCGACCACCCAATGTAGTCCCTAACATAGAAAACAAGTTAATGATTATTTTGGCTTAAAGTTGGATGCATTATTTGTCTTGAATTAGGAAGTTCCCCTCTATCAAAAAGTCTTATATTAATCTAGCCATTTTTTTCATTCCCAAAATTGGAGTTATTACCACCTAATTAAAGGTTCTTTAACTTGGATAAGTCATCATGGTCGTTAAGGAGTTTGGTGGCAACCATAACAGTAGCTCTATCTTACACCTTTTATCTTTAAAGCTCATCCTAACCTAAGGTTTGAGATACTCAAAGAAATAAAACATCTTATCTTTTTAGACATGTCCTTAGTATCCAACATCAAGGTATAAAAATTTCTTACAAACTCTTGCAATGCTCTTATTTACACCAACACTCGAAGTTTTCATCAAGCCATGTACTCTACATTCTCAAGAAAAAAATTGGTTTTTCAACACTTACTTTAGATCCACTCAAATTTTGATTAGGCACTCATCATTAACAAATTTGGAATGCCACCATAGCTTAACATCTCAACAAGATACATTGCAAGCATTACAATGCTATTTTCCTCTGATTCTGTGCGCACAGGTCAAAAATATTACTCTATATCAAACAAGAAATTCTCAAGCTCTTTGACATCTTTTACACCCTTATAGCATCTTGGTTCCGGCACATTGGCCCTATTTTCCTTATTACAAGCTAGAACAAAACCTGCCTATAGCCAATTAAATCACATTGACTTGAGCCTTAAGTTTCTTAAACTCTTGTTTGAGGATTCTCATGGTGTCCATTCTTTTCATCCAAGTTATTCAAAGTATTGGACAGCTTCTGCTAGGTTGTCTTAATCACGCCCAATCGATCATGAGTAACCATGTGAGCTTTCAAGGTGACCATTACAGCCTTAAACTCCTCAACCATTTGTTGACCATTTGATCCACCACTCATCGTAACCATGTTTGCTTTCTCTCTAACACTTTTCAACTATGCTTTGATACCACGTATCACGGACTAAGCTTTGTCTTGACAAAGTAATAGCCCATGCAACACTTAAATGAACGCTTTCCACACAAGTTAGTTAAGATATCGAGCCGAGTCGAGTCTAGATAAGCATATAAACTATTAATATCAAGTATGGACTCGGTCCATCCAACCCATGAACACCTTTATTGACAGATTGCTACAAGTCAAAATATTTTTGTTTTATCTTTCCTATTTTGCTAATTTCTTTTAATTTACCAACTTAAAAAAGAAATAAAAGATGAAAGGTAAAAAAAAAAAAAAAAACTAAATGGAGATGACACATGGATACCTTAATTGGTCTTATATTTTAACAAAATTTATTAACAAAAATTAAAAAAGGACAAAATAAAAAAAGCAAAAAATGAAAAAAAAAGTTTATAAAAGGTGTCATATGGGCACTCCCATTGAGTTTAAAATATTAATTCCCTAAATTGAGGTATCAAATATTAACTTTATTAATATAATACATATATATATATATATCTAAATTAAATTAGAAATGAAATATATATTTTTATATATACCTTGAAAAATAAACCCAAATACTCTTTTGCTCCGATTTTTTTCTCATAAGAAATTCGACCCATTTCAAATCGATCTAGATTTAAAAATTAGCCCCTACTGGATCGAAATGGATTAAAACCCATTAGATACGGATTATTTTGAAATCTTTATTAATTGACATCTTTTGTATTAAAATTTATCTAATGAAAAAAAATTTTAAAAATGAAATTGAAAACATTTGATAAAGGTGCCACATAAATACTTGAATTGACCTCCTATTATCACAAAATATATTTAATAAAATAATATTAAATAATAAGAATTCTAAAAATAAAAAAAGAACAAAAAAAAAAAAATTAAAAAAAAAGTTCACAAAAGATGCCACATAAACATTCCTATTATGTTTAAAATATTAATTTTTTAAATTAAAATATCAAATAATAACTTTATTAATATAACACATATTATAAATATAAAATTAAATTAATAAAAATATATTTTTTACATATACTCCAAAATAAGTTGGATAAAATACCTAAATATGTTTTCACCCTAATATTGTATTTTATAAAAAAAAATACTCAATCATCCCAACTCAATCCTAATTTTAAAAAATCTCTCCTATCAAATTAGAACGAATCGAAAGCATCGAAGATAGATTGTTTTGGTATCTCTATTAATCGATACATTTTGTTACAAACTTTTTTAATTAAAATAAAAAAAAAAGTGAAAGAGAAAAAAAAGCCAAATGGAGTACTATGTGGATATCTTCATAAGCCTAATTTTTCAAACAAAATTAATTTAATAAAAAAGTATAAAAAAATAAAAAAAATTAAAAATTAAAAGAAAGGAGAAAAAGAAAAAGGGGGCTTATAAGGATACTATGTGGACATCCCAATTAAATTTAAAATATTAATTTTTAAAATTAAGGTATTAAATAATAATTTAATTCATTTAAAACAATTAAAAAATATATATAATATCACGTGTACACATTTTTTTTAAGTGATCTTATTTAAAATACAAAAAAAAAACCACGAAATGAAAAAAAATAAAATAAAAAATAAAAAATTAAATTGCTACGCAATAATAGCAATGATGAGTTTTTTTTTTTAAGATTATATCATTGATTTTAGAAAAAAACAAAAAAACCAAAAACAAAAACTAACAAAAGACCCTAAAAAAATCAAATCTAGATGTAAGATCAACACCTTCACTAATATTTTTTCTTTTAAAATCATGAAATAAGAATATCAAACGGACCTTATATTAAAGAAATATGAAAAATATTTATTAAATATTAAAAAAGAAAAAATGGCAAATAGTGAAAAAAAGAAAAACGAACAAATCAATCATATGACCTCATACATGGCATATTCTCAATATTAAGTGGATATTACAAAAAAGTTAGATATAAAAAATTATTCATTAAATATATATATATATAAAAAAGAAGGAAATAGTAAAAAAAATAAAACCAAACACATGATATATCATTTGTATTAAATAGGTCCACACCGAAAAAAAAAAAAACTAAATGTTAAAAAACATTTTTTAAATATTTTTTAAAAAGTAAAAAACGGTTGAAAAAAAAAAGAAAGTTAGTATAAGTGAATTGTACACACAAAAAATAAATAATATTTGAAAAACATATATTTTATACAATTTAATAAAATATTTGTTAAATATTAAAAAAAACAAAAAGTAAAAACAAAATTAAAAAGCTAATTAAAGAAGAAAAAGTGAAAAAAAAAAAATGTAACACCTGGTAGACCCTAGGTGTTCCTTACATGAGGAAATTTTAATAGTTAGATTGGAAATATATTCCTTTCAAGACCTTGGTCGGGACGCATTGTAGAGATTGAGGTATCAAAAGGTCCGCTCCAGCAGCATGAGATTGAGGTATCAAAAGCCACGACAATGCTTACCTTGACAACCACTTCATTCCAAAATGCTCGACATTCGCCACATCCCATCAAGCTTCCTTATTATTTTTGCACTAAATTACTATTCTGCCGATGGATTTCTCCACCCCTCCCTCCCATGCCCCATTCTGGATCTAGGTATGTTTTTTTTTTTTTTTGACAAAAGTGAACGAAAACAAAAGTAGGAAAACCAAACTCTTTTTCACTGACTGACAACTTAAAAATCCTTGGCTTATTTTGCTCTGCTTCAAGCTTTGTACGTGTGACAGAACCTAATCCATATTTTCACGCTGATAGACTAAGCAAAGGCTTTCATCCAATATGAATTTGACCAACAAATTCCAAGCATTGTTGTCCCTTGAGGCAATCCCATCCCCGCCTTAGAAGGATGGGAGGATCTTTTGATCATTCAATGACGCTAGCTTTTCTATATATGTTGGAACCAGCCCTTTCCCTTTATTGATCATGCTGTGTATGTGACAACTATGATTCCTTTAAATTCTGGACAAACAAAATGAAAGAAATGAATCAACCCAGAGAATAAAGAAAAAAGTTGCTAGAAGCTTAGAACCTAAGTCAAAAATATTATATCAAAGATTTTTTTTATTTATGAATATTTAGCTGGCCTCCTGCCTTTAGATGTATGCATGCTGCACCGTCAAGCAATTCTTAAATAGTATAGTATGTGATCAGCAAAAACTAGCCATGCAAGGTAGATCAATCTGCGTTAGCCATGAAGAAGAAGAAAGCAAATTATTCTCTTATTGTTCTGTCTATTTAAATCACAAATGCAGGGAGGACCGAGTGGAGCAAAGGTACATTAATAATAGATTTAACTATAAATTGAAGCTGCCATTTCACAATCTTCTGTGATGATGACATTGCAGCTTTGTTCCTCTACCCCTTTAAATATCCAGGCGAAGCTCCCAATTCTTAGATTGGGTCGTTACGATCAGAAGAATTCATCAAAGCTTCCGTGTAAATTCCTGAGCACTTCCATATCTAACTCACATCCAATTCCAAATCCTATTTTGCTCCACCCTCCAGTAAATCAGGTCTATCTTTCTTACACTTTAAGTTGGAATCTTAATTCATTGAATGTAATGCTGTTAATATGGCTTTCCATGTGTTAGCTGTGGTTGCTTATCTTTCCACAATTCGTATCATCTTTATTCCAAGGTGTATTGTTTGTCACCAACCATGTTTCTATATCGTAATTATGCCTAAAAATTAAACTCATCCAATAGCAGAGTGTTGCAGCAATATTATTTGGAGACGGATCAGAGTCAAGGCTTTACCCACTGACAAAAAGAAGATCAGAAGGGGCTATACCCATAGCTGCTAACTACAGACTCATTGATGCAGTTGTGAGCAACTGCATTAACAGCAACATAAATAAGATATATGCTCTCACACAATTCAACTCTACTTCTCTCAATTCCCACCTGTCAAGAGCCTATTCTGGAGCAGGTCTTGGGAAAGAGGGGTTTGTCCAAGTGATTGCAGCATATCAGAGCCCTGAAGATCAGGGTTGGTTTCAGGTACCACAGAGCACCATATGCATATTTTATATTGTAAATTTATAATAAATTCAATACTTTGTTTCAGGTACCTGTATGTTCATGTGAAAAAGAAGTAACGGTTCTCAACATAGGCATGATTTTGTGATTTTGTCTTTTGCTACTGCATGTCTTTTTGAACACCAGGGAACTGCTGATGCTATAAGAAGATGCCTATGGGTCCTAGAAGAGTATCCAGTGGCTGAATTTCTGATCCTTCCTGGCCACCATCTCTATAAAATGGACTACCAAAAGGTGATAGAATCCCACCGCAGCAGAAAATCGGATATAACTATTGTTGCTTCAAATGGCATTACCGTGAGAGATCAAGACCCAGGTTTTGGTGTACTGAAAATAAATGCAGAAAATCAAGTCATGCAGTATAGTTTGAAGTCAGACACAGAACCCGTAAACTATACGGTATTAAGCTGTCTTCATCAGCTTTGCTTTTCCTTAATTTTGCCTTTGGCATCATAATTACATATCAGGATTTTCTTAAGGAAAACTTGTGAAAATTCGTTTCAGGCAGAAACTTTGTCTAGATTCAATGATACCAGTTATAGCAATATTCCAAGTATGGGAATCTACCTCATCAACAGAGCTACAATGGTAAATCTTCTGAATAAACATTTCCCTAAGGCAAATGACTTTGGAAGTGAAGTGATACGAGGTGCAATATCTCTAGGAATGAAGGTCAGACTTGACTAATTATAGACAAATGCATTAAGTTCTCCATATACTTTCAAAAAAGTCAATGAATGAGGATATTGTCCTTTTGCTCAAGGGACAGGTTGAGGCATATTTGTTTGAGGGCTATTGGAAGGACATGAGGAGCATTGAAGCATTTTACCAAGCAAACATGGAATGCGTAAAGAAATCAAACATGGGATACAAGTCAGTACTTTACTTACCAGGAAAGCCTGCAAATACAATAATGCGAGTGCATCATTTTACAGAATGTTTCACTTATAACGGGCTCCCACAAACTAACACAAACTTCATCCTTTGATAGCAGCTTCTGTGATAGAGATTCCCCTGTCTACACTATGCCTCGATGTCTGCCTCCTACCCTTGTTAGTGATGCCGTGATAACAGATAGTGTCATTGGAGATGGTTGCATTCTCAATGTAAGTAGAAAAGTTTCTGGAGACCTCTTCAACTTACCTGTCAAACTTGATCGTACTCGTTTTAACCAGCGAAACATACAGAAAAATATGCATGATCAGTAAAGTAATTGAAGACACGTGATGCAGAGATCTTTTTTTTTTTATGAATTCAGTTTTCATTTGTTTTCGAATCATCCTTTTGACTCTTGTAAGCATAGAGGTGCAAGATCAAACGTTCAGTGGTGGGAATGAGGACGAAAATTGGAGATGGGGCAATCATAGAAGACTCGGTGATCATGGGATCTGACGTCTATCAGGTCTGATGAATCTTTAGTTTTTCATCCTGTAATAACTTTTTATTCTTTGGATAGCATGACTGGGGAAGAATACAAGCTTGAGAGATATTTGAAAATCACTTATGACTGAATCAACTGTGGGGTTTATTGTGGCGTTCTGAACGAGTTGTATATACCTTGACTCTGCTGTTGGTAATAGATTGAAGATGGGCATGAGAGCAGCATCGAGGGCATCCCGATGGGAATTGGTGAGAATACTCAAATTAGAAAAGCCATTATAGATAAGAACGCGAGGATCGGGAAAAATGTTAAGGTATTAAGTACTACCACTACGCCTACTCCTACTCCATTAGTTTTGCTTGCCAGTCGTGATTTCTTTTGCAGCATAATATTCAGAGTCCACTTTTATGGAAAATTATTAGTCTTTCCACCTGAAAATAAATAATTTGCTGTGCAGATCATCAACAAAGATAATGTGGAAGAAGGGGACAGGGAGGCCAATGGTTACGTAATCAGTGGGGGAATTATGGTCCTTCTTCGGAGCGCAGAAATTCCGGATGACAGCGTCTTATGAGATTTAAATATTTTATCTTGGTCGCCGTTCAAATGTTCAATTGTTTGTTTTTGCATTTGATTCGGACACAAACGAAAGAAGCAAGCACAGATAGACGGACATCTGTAGATTATCTGTACAGCGTCTCAACTCTCACAAATGACAAAACCATAACCTCCTGTAATAAATAACATTTTGAAACTCGTATTTACGTGAAAAATATAATGCTAATATGGAAGATTATTCATTCCTTTATTATGCTTGCTTTCATTCTAAATAAATCTAATCTTCATAAATATGAATCAAGTCCATCTATAATTTATTCCCAATGGCAAAAATGTTTATAGTACCTATTGTTATAATGTATAAATTCATGAACCTACCGTTAGATATGGATTAAAAGAGTCACCACCAATCTTTTTTATTTATGTGTGATTGGTCACCTGATCGAATATAATTTTCAAAACCAGATTTTAAGTCTGAGAGTACAGTTACGCGTGAAAAAAATTATAATATCCTCACAACGCCCCATCAAAATATGATACCAATTTGATTCCAAATTATCTAAGCCTTTAAAAATATTTATGCTTTTGCCAAAATATTAAATATTAAAAATTAATCTTAAAATTATCCTAATAATTTGATAACAATTTAAGATAATTCTCTTACCTCAAGAGTATCATGAGAATTAATGTTTTACTCTAAAGAGATTCCACTGTCAGATTTATTAATATTTGTTTATTATTTTTTTATTCATAAAAAATTAATAAATCTCTCAATCATTTGGTATGACTTATTTTAAAACAGATCTCCTAATAGTTTGGTGAGATTTTATTGTAAAAATATTTATAAAAATTTATTTTAAAAAAAAAATTCATTAAATCTCTTAATAATTTGGTAACACTTAATTTGAAAAGCAATCCTCCAATCGTTCGGAGGATGAAATGATTGGAGGATAAAATTATTTTTTTAAAATGATTCATGAAATTTTTCAATAGTTTGTTGGATTCCATAATATTTAAATCCATAAAATCCTCCAATAATTTAGTGGGATTCATGGATTTGTTTAAAAAAAAAAATTTTTTTATTTTACCATATTTTTTTATGTTTTTCAGAAAGGAATTTTTATTTTGCAAAATATTTAATAAATAATAAACTACTTAAAAATAAATAAATAATAAAACCAATAAAAGATGAAAATAAAAATCAAGAAAATAAAATCGAAAAACAAAACAAAAAAGAAAAAAAAACCTACAATTCCGTCAGGTCAATGCAGGTCAACACACAGACCAACAGGTCTAAGCGCAAATCTAGGTGTTCTAAAACACTGACGTTTTGGAATACTATATAAGCTAAATCTACCTATTTCTCCTTTAAAAGCCCTCTGCTCACTCTCTCTCTAAATCAAAAAACGTCTAACCTCTCTCTAAAAAGGCTCAAAACTTTAATCGAAAACTAAAAAAAATTCATCGGTTTCTGAAAATTTTACTAAAATTTTGTTGAAAACTTCAATCTTCGTCGAAAAATTCATATTCATCCTAAAACCCAGTTTTTTTCCAAAAAAATCTTAGAAACCTCAAAATTCTTCCAAATCCTTTCAGAAATCATCCAACAACATAAACCACCTTCCCCGAAACCTAAATCTAAACCTAGAAACTTCCAAATGAACTCAAATTTCCAGAATCAAAATCCCAGCAACCTAGAACTTAAACACCAAGTTCTTACACCAAATCCACCGTTCCTTCCAAAATCCACTTTGTGTTTTGTTTCATCGTTTTTGCATCCAATTTATAAGCATTTTTATGATAGATTTTAAGAAACGAACAGAATCAATTCAAGCTAGAATTTTGAAATTTGATTCTGTCCAAACAAAATTTTAGGTTTCTGATTTAATCTCAATTTAATTTAATAATTATCTTAATTAAAAACCTTTGACTATGTTAATGAGATTTTGATCTCGGTCGATTTAAAATTTCTATTCCCTTATTTAATTACAAATTAGAAAAAAAAAATAAATAAAAATAATAATAATAATAATAATAATAATAATGGTACAATGATAAAAATATAATATATTGTAATGTAGTATAATATAATATACTATCCTACTATATATTATGCTATGGTATATTATATTATAATAAATTATAATAATATAATAATATGGTATGCTAAAAGTTAACAATTGATTTCGAATAAAGATGAATGTATACATCTGTTGAGCCGCAACATGCAAGAAGCTACTGCCAGCCATTACTTCCGTAAGTACCCATCGTCACCAACTACAAGGGAGACGATTAATTGTACCTTTTTGTTTTTAATTCCTTTTTTTTTTTTTTAAAGAAAAAATTTCAAATAGATAAATTATTTAATTTTTTATATTAAAATAAAATAAATTATATTTGATAATTTAAAACAAATAATTATAAATTTTGAAATAATTTTAATAAATAATCATGATAAATTTAAATTTAAAATTTTTTCATAAAAAAAAACAACTTTAACTTATTAAACTAACCACTTATAATTAATTCTTCTTTTGAATCTTACGTGAAGTCCGCAAAATCATATTTTCCCATTTTTTCTAAGCAGCAAAACAATATTTTCCTACTCCTCAAAAAGAATGAAAAAAAGAAAGAACGTGTCATTATATATTTGTTTTTCGTTCTATCAGAATCGGTTTATGGTTTTGTTTTTTTTTTTCATCTCTGCACGCTCACTTGTCTCCACCTCTTTCATCAGTCATCCCTTACCCTTGTCTCTTATCTCTTATCTCTTATCCCTATGGGCCATTGATTGGGGCATAGGTGACCGACTTATTCGCTCATCATCCCTCTTCCACACTCCGTGACCTGCGGCACATCATCCGTCTAACCTAACCACAGCCAGCTCTACAAGCCAGCCTCCACATTGTAATCTTCCATTGCTTTCATTCTCTTTGCCTGACGATTTTCGACTCTAAAAAGTTCAATCTTGAGTGGCTATTTCTAATTTCTACGAATTATAATAATTGATTTTGTTGCGTGTTTCTAATTTGTTTGCTTTTTCTTTATAATTTTTTAACATAATGGAAAAATATGGTAAGGGATGGAAACTTGCTAATTGAATAGTTAAATTTCATAATTATTTTTTATTTTGTAATTCACCATTAATAAGTTTTCCATTCTGATTCTTTGTATCTTTCTTATCAAGCAAAGACTAAGTCTTGCCATTTGAGTGGGTTCAACTGTTCAAGTTCAACAGTCTCCTCTTGCAATGTAAGTGCACATTCTTTAATTAAATTGTATTCTTGAGAAGTCAAAAGTGACCAAATTCATTCTAAGAGTTTTAACTTTTTTGTAAGTGATGCTTACAGAAGAAAATGAAATTAACCCAAGTATTTCTGTCGATCAAAGGCAATTCTTGAATAATAATTCGGTTTGGTTAAAGAAAAGAGAAAATGAAATTTGGGATAATTCGGTTTCGGTTTTAACAATGAACACCCCTAGCAGTGAGCTTTCCTGAGTGGCTATGTTGCATTTTTCTCTTTTTCTCCCGGATTATGGATTGTTGATTGTTCATTTCTCTTCATGAACATTAGTATTTGGTATTGTAGTTTTTCTCATTCTTGTTTGGTATTTTCACTTGTTGCTCTGTGATAAAATAGAGAAAGGAGGCAATGGAAGGAAAAGCCCTTCCCTAGCCAAACCTACTTAAAACCCTTAATTTTCGTTCCAAAACAAGTTCATGATCTTCCATTAGTAAAATTAAGAGTTCCAAAACAATTCCAAGAAGAAACCGTGCAAGTTTGGGTAAAGATACTAGTATTAGTGCTAGGAATGCTGCTAATGATGATCAAGTAGAAGAATGGGAATTGGAGTTTTTGGAGAGCTTGATCCATTTGGTTGTCAAGCACCCAAGAAGAGGAAAAAGCAAGAGAAGTCTAGGTTGCTTGAGGATACTGAGGGGATGGACAATTAATTGGTGTTTAAAGGCTAGGAAAATGGCACTCAAATCTATTGAAGCTAAGGGGACTAACTCATAAAGTTGAGGATTTACTAGCTGCCAAAATGAAGAAGAAAAAAAACAAGAAAAGATTCACAAACAAAGATAAGATTGATAAAGAAAGCAAGGAGATTGAAGAAGATTTTGATTTTGATTTTGGGGAAGATATTAGCTTGGAGGATTTCAATAACAGAATTGATGATAGTATCCATCAACTTCGAAAGATGGTGAGTATGATGGCAGGTGGGATGTTTTTACAGAAGAAGGAAAAGGCAATGGAAGAGTTTGATCAGAAGCTAGCCCAATTCTCTGGGCCATCTTATCATAAAACAAGAAGTTAATTTGAACAAAACTAGAACACAAGCATATGCTGGGGAAGAAGAGTTGGAGATTACAGCCAGAGATGATTATGGCTGTTGGGAAAGGACTGAGTCCTTCACCTTTTTCCCCTTAAATATTGCCACAGCACTTGATAGAATTACCAAGAGTATGGAGAATGATTAGTAGTTGCAGGTTGGCATTTGCTCGACAAAAAGAAATGTCAATGCTTATAGGTATTGCAATGACAGTACTTCCGGAATGCTTCGCACAAGGTACTTCAAATATTTCATGGGCACCATCCAAGATTGGAGGGGACTTACATTTTTTTGTCAGAAATGGATAGGGTTGCAGAAGGTTAACGAGTTCAATTCTCAGAATGTTGCTAATATTGCTGGGTCCTTTGCCACAATTCGGCACTCTGCGCCCACTCTCTTTTTAGAGTAAGATCATTGGGTTCTACCTACTTATGTTGCTTATTGAAGAGGAAGAAATATCTTTGTTGTTAATGTGCCTTGGAAGTTAACATGGAGTAAGATGAAGTAGTGTGTGGGGTTTGCTACAGAATTTTGATGATATAATGGGTAGTGTTGAATCTTGAATCTTGATCGAGGAGGACCATGAGAAGGATAGAATAAGCAGAATAGAAGAATGCTTATCAATACCTTACTATTGTTTACGCTTCCTTTGTCATATGTACGCTGTAGAGGTCATATAAGTGTATTTGAAAAAAAAAGAAAACCCTACTCTTTTCATGTATCTTTTTATCTTTTTCTTTAGAAGCGCAATTTCTTTCACTTTTTTTTTAATCGTTGTAATTTTTATGTTTTACTCACCTACCGAGTATATCAAAATTTAATAATCAATGAGGCGATGTACTTTGTTCTTTTTTATGTGAACAAAACTCTTGTTGAAATTTGGTGATAAATATATTAACATTTCTCAGGTATTATACACTAAGATTAAATTAGACGGGCGATTTATTCGAACTTATAAAAAGTTTAGATATGAATATTAAATTTATTGAATGGATTTGAGCAAATAAATGAGATTTAATCAAAAAAATAAGGTTGGATTTGAATTCAACCATTTAAGAGTCGGGTTTAACTCGGTTCGATTTTGAAAATTAAAAAATACTTTTTATCATAATAAGATAAAATTTATTTGCTTTACTTATTATGATGGATAAAATTTATTTGCTTTATTATTTACAATAAAGTTTATTTTATACAAAATAATGATTTAATTTTAAATTATATTTAATAAAATTAAATTGGATCTAAATTCAAATGACTCATAAATTAATTAAAATTAATTAAATTAGTTAAATTAATAATTTATAAAAAAAAAAATTTTGTAATTTTAAATGTTAATATTTTTAGTAAGTTTGAATTTTATTATTACATGTAAAAAAAAGCTTAAGTAAAAAATATGAGTAAAAAAATCGAGCCGAATCAAACTTGAATTTATTTAAAATATTGAAATATTATATCAGACCTGATCCGAACTCAATTCGATTTAATTTACGAGCAAATTTAGATTAAATAAAAAATTAAAATAATTTCCCTTATTTTCTTATTAACTAAAATGAGATTCAAAATCGATATTTTTGCTCTCCTTCATGCATACTTTTGATAAGATTTCATTTGACGGTCGGTAAAAGTCATATAAATGAAAGATAAATTATTAATGCTGATTATAAACTAACGGTGATTGCTGGACGCCGTGGTTCTTCCGTTGCTTGTTTGAGAATTGAGATGTGTGGTGAAAATGGTTACAGCATAAAGGATAAGCGATAGCCCATGGGCCCTAGCCGTTTCGGCTCAATGTGGGCCACATCTATTTACGCTGAGTAGCTATCATATTAGTTGTATTATTTTTATTTAAAAAATCTCAAAGGGGTGGGATTTTTTATTTTATTATTTGTCGGAAAACATGATGGGGATTTGTTTATTTATTAATTAATTTATTATAAGAAAACAAAAGGGTAGTCGAACATTCTCATTATACTGTGCATTTGGTTTTTTTTTTTTTTTATTGTAAGCAATAATAATCAGAAATTAAAAGAGAGAAAAGAAATAAGGAAGAACATTTTCTTTCTCCTAATCTCTCTGTCCACTCTCTGGTAGGCTCTGTGGTCTATCACAAAACTTAGATCAAGATCAAGATCAAAATCGCTGCTTGCAGGTACATTGTCATCTTCTATTACCCTCTTCAAATTTTCAATATTGGAAAGATGTTGGATTGGATCCTCATTCCTCGACCAAAAAGATGATTGATTTGGATGTAGGATTAGGGATCGGAGAAGTAAAGTAGTACATGTATGTATATAATAGCAACATACTATATCTTTAGTAGTAGTAGTATGTGAGAAAAATTATCTGGATCCTTTGGTTGATGTTTTACACACTGATAACTTTCATGTCTCAGATCTCTATCTTCTTGCAAGTTTCAACTGTTACGAAGCTCTTCCCTTTTTCTCTCAATCTTTTTCCTTTTCTTTTGTCTGCTCTGCCTGCTTGTCTGGTGTTTAGACAAAATCGTGTCCGGCTGTCCCTGCTTCTAGCTTTCACTTCTTCATTCACACATGCACATAAAAAACCCTCTCTGGTTTTCGATCTTTCTTCACTTGACAGTTGCAGAAGAATTGAGATCTATGTTGCTAATTTATGTAGTATTTACGGTTTCCTGTATTTTCTTTCATCAAAAGAAAATATATACATATATTTCCCATATTTTCTAGATTCATATTTTGATTAAATACTTTGAATCTTTGCTTTTAACTTTTAAGGTATGTCATCATCTGATAAGCCAGAAATAGTTGAAAGGGATGTTAAGGACAAGGCAGATGACAAAGAAGACAAAGGTGGATTTATAGAAAAGGTCAAGGATTTCATTCATGACATTGGTGAGAAGATTGAGGAAGCTATCGGCTTTGGTAAGCCCACTGCAGATGTAACTGGGATTCACATTCCTTCCATCAATCTTGAGAAAGCAGACATTGTCGTTGATGTCCTCGTAAAGAATCCAAATCCTGTTCCAATCCCCCTCATTGACATTAACTACCTCATCGAGAGTGATGGAAGGAAACTTGTTTCAGGCTTGATTCCAGATGCTGGAACCATCCATGCACATGGTGAGGAGACTGTCAAGATACCAGTTACTTTGATATATGATGATATCAAAAGTACATATGATGACATTAAGCCTGGGAGCATCATTCCCTATAGGATAAAAGTAGATCTCATTGTTGATGTTCCTGTTTTTGGAAGGTTAACTTTACCACTTGAGAAAACTGGAGAGATCCCTATACCTTACAAGCCTGATATTGATCTGGAGAAGATACACTTTGAGAGATTCTCTTGGGAGGAAACTATTGCAGTTCTTCATTTGAAATTGGAAAATAAGAATGACTTTGACTTGGGACTCAATGCACTGGACTATGAGGTATGGCTATCTGAGGTCAGTATTGGAGCTGCAGAACTCCAAAAGTCCACCAAGATCGACAAAAATGGAATCAGTTACATTGAGATTCCTATGTCTTTCAGGCCAAAGGATTTTGGATCTGCCCTTTGGGACATGATTAGAGGAAAAGGAACAGGTTACTCTATGAAAGGTCATATCAATGTTGACACTCCTTTTGGAGCAATGAAATTACCCATCAGCAAGGAGGGTGGCACAACCCGCCTTAAGAAGAACAAGGAAGATGGTGGGGACGATGATGATGAGGTGTGTTAATTCTTTTATTTGCTTGTTAAGTTTACTGTTCAACATTAATTGGATTGTGTTTACATTGCTGTTTTAGAATACCTGTTACATTTGTTCATTTTCTTTTACACTGTTTGGTAGGAAAAGAAAGGGAGGGAAGGGAAAAAGGTGAGGAAAGAAAAACAGATGGGGTTCATTGTGTTTGGTATGAAAGATGGAAAATCCAGAGTAAAAAAAAAAAAGAGATTAGGGGTAAAGTCGTAAATAAATTGTCAATTTAAGTGAAATGAGTGTTTCCTCAACATCTGGAAGGACTAGATTTTGAGGGAAGGGGGAGATGCAAATCCACTTATTTTGCTTCCCTTTTCCTACTTCCTTCCTACCAAAAGAGAAAAAGGATAGAAAGAAAGTGAATTTTCCTTTCACCTTCTTTCCTTTCTTCCTCTTACCAAACACAATGTTAGTGTATTGGATAAATATTTTAATGAGGTGTAAATCTTACTCACTTCTTATAGCTTTCATTTTCGGTAGTTTGAAGGTCGCAATATTGATAGAATTATATGTTACCTTATTTTATAAGTTTATCCTTCTTTTGGGTTTTGTATTTTACTCTCATAAAGTTTGATCTGCACTCTTCTTGCCGTAAATACAAGAGGAGGGATCTTATGTCTCCTTACAAACTTTTGCTATTTTCTTTTGAAAGCAAAAAAGCAAGAAACATGTTTTGGATGTAAAAGCAAGTTATGTTTGTGAAGAATTAGAAGTGGAATTGTAAGTTTTTGGAGAAGAAGATACATGATTTACTTGACTATAAAGTAATCATGTTAGGAATAGTGCTGCATTATAAGTAATTGTTTATTTTTAAATTTATGATTTGCTTTTATCCTTTGATTTTTAGTTTAGCACCTTTTAGGAAGCGGAAAGCAAATACCACTTGTAACAAACCAAACAGAGACCAAGTAATTTTTCAACATTCTTGATGATTGAGAAAACTCTAATTGGTATGACAATTTCTTAAAAATAGGTAAGAGACAATTGTTGCTGTAGCCGCACATGAAAATAATGAAATGCCTGCCCTTCAAGATATTTACAGAACATATCAATACATCATTGTCGTATTAATGAATATCAGAGTAGATATGTGACTACTGACTCTTTTCTTTTCCTTTCTTTTATTAGTTATCAGGTTTATGCATTTTTTTGGTTATGTAACTCCATATTTAAATATTTTGCTTGCAGGATTAGAGCAAGATTGACAGGGATGGTTATCTTGATCATCTTTTGTTTCATTACAGATAAGAGTTCATCACAATAATATTCTAATAGAGTGTTGAATTTATTTAAGTTTTAGATTGTGATGGTAACATGCAGAATAATTATGGAAGAGATGGTACCTATAAATTATGCGTATATGTATTATGTATGCCTGGGATACGGAGGCTTGGTTTTTATTTTGCGCAGCTACTGTGAATCTGTGTTTGAATTTACTGTTGTGACTGTTATTTTCTTTTGATATGATTCCATGTGTTTTATCTATAATATTTGGCTACAGGAGGGAGGGACGCTTATAACTTATTTCCATGGGTTTCATCCTTGTTTGTGGTCTTTGGAGAACATTATTGAGCCAGTGATGGTAGAGTTAATGTATAAAACTAATTTACGAGAATCTCCGAGTGCTAAAGTAAAGCTTCTCTTCAAAGCTCACCACTTCTTTCTCTCTCTCTCTTCGTCGTCTTTAAAACTAACAACTCTCCTTTATTATATTGCCACTACTCTTCTATTCTATTGCCACTCCTCTCATTTTCCCAAAATACTTGTTTTTGATGTTCTTTATATCTTCCGAATTATATGTTACAGGTATTTCATCCCAGTTTATTATATCTCATTCTATTAATTTTAAAACAATAAAATTTTCCAAAACTATTTTCCTCACTTTCCTATATCTTTCAATACATCTTCAAGGAAAAGAAAATTCCCAAAATAGTTGGATTTTGTTTGAAAGAACTCGAGGGCGTATAGAGAGGAGAAAACTCGAAATTCATTGACCATCGACAGCGTAATTTAGCCACTTGTCATAAAACCAATCCTAATGATGATTTGTTTTAAAGGTCAAACTGTTTTAAACATGGACAAGTCTCTCCAAAGCTTGGGCTTTGTAAGACCAGTCTTGTTTAGGGCTCATTTAGTTGCCCATTTAGCATCAGTGCCGCGCAATTAGCGCAATTCGCACCGCAAGCAAAGTGTTTGGATGAGCGGTTGAAAATTTTCAACTGGACCGTATCTCCAGTTTGGGGCTCAATCGCCATTGGAGGCCAGTGGAGATTTTCAACTTGCAATCGTGGATAAAAATTCTCAAATACCCTTATTGTATACATTTTAATTGAATTCAACTCTTTTCAATTTATTTAATTTAAAAACTTTAAACTGAAAAGGCCATTTGGTGAGATCTCAAATATTTTATATCGGTTCCAATCCTCATTTATTTTTTTAATTTATTTCTTTTCTTCTTATTATTCTTTGCTTTTTTTTTTATCGATGTTTATAAAAAGTTTTAACATTTTTATCACTCGTGTAATAAAGTAAATTATTTAAAAATAAATCATATAACGTTATCATTTTTATTAGTAATTTTTAATTACTTATTAACTTCAAATTTACCAACTATATAATAAATTTTATTATATAAAAATTTTAATTTGATATATATAGCTTTCAGTAATTTTTAATTATTTATTAGCTTCTCAAATATATATTATAAATTTTATTATACACAAATTTTATTCTAATGTCTTTAATGATTAATTTTTTTTTACTATAATTAATCTCATCATTAGCACTATTTTTTATCCAAATATATATCATGTCATTGATTTTAATTTTATCATATAACATCTAATATTACCACTATAATAAGTAATCTCACATTCATTGTTATTTTTAATTTCATCAAAATCAATCTCATTGACTGTCAATCTCACTATCTATCTAAATGGATCTTTTGAGTACGAGAGTTTCATCTTTCAAGTTGTTCATTTTTCGAGTGTTGTTTCGGGATTGAGTTTGGAGTTTCTTGTTTTTAGCATAGTTGTTGTACTGTCTCTTTTTCTATTACAGGGTGGAGGGATGGCTTTTTATGAGCAAATGGCAGACGATCTAGAAGGGGCATGGAAAAACCTGACATTCACAGAGGAGGAGATGGAGAGTATTTTGACGTTAGATCTGGTGCATGAAACAGAATCTGAGGAGGGGGAGAAACATGGTTGGTAGGTCAGTTACTGATCAAGTGGAATGAGGCAGTTATCTAAGAGCGAGGATAGAAATGGATTTATCCAAACCATTGAGGAGATTTGTTTCCTTGAAACAGAACAATGTTGAGGATAAATGTGCAAGGTTGAAGTATGAGCAGCTATCGATTTTTTGTTATGAATGTGGGAGAGTAGGGCATCTCGACTAAAACTGGAGAAGCCATAGCAAAAGACGAAAGGCGGTATAAGGACTGGTTACACATTTCACCGGTGATAAAGGGTTACATGGTGTACTCTGGAACACAAAGGAGGATTGTTTCAAAGGCTCAGCAGGGAGGTCCGATGTCTTTACAGTGAAGAATAGAGAGCAATGAAAAGGATTCAGAACCTAACTCAGTGAAAGCGAAGGCGGCGACGAGTAACTCAGAGAATGGAACAGTGACAGTGGCAATGGCGAAGACAGAGATTCGAAAATTGTCCATGGTAGGTGGCGAGAATCAGGGAGCTAACCATGGATCAGACAAGGAAACAAGGGAGGCAAATGTGGTCATGGAAAGGAGATAGAGCGGGAATAGAGCAGCAGAAAAAGGACCGAACCCAGATTCGTGTTTAAATGCTGATGGAAAGATAATCAGGCTAAATGGGAGAGTGTCCAAATCCAGTTGAAAGAAGGAATCACAGAGGTATAAATAAAGCAAAACAGATTTGGGAAGGAGGGTGTATTGAATTAGGGAACGGTCATATTGGCTCTTAGTGTCTGGAGCTCCATTTGGTTTAAACTGCACTTCCAGTTAGGTGCAGTTGCCAAAAAAAGTTTGTATCCAATGCATTTGGATGTCAAAGCAGTATCACGTTTGACTACTTTTTCTTATTGATGATTTTAGTTTTAGTGAGTAAATATTGGTTTCCATTTTTTTTTCTCTTTTTTGTCCTTTATTTTATATTACAAAATCAAAAATGTCCTTACGGTTTAATTTTTTATTTTTTATTTAAAAATTATAAAATAATTTTATTAATTTATTATAATAAACAATTTTATTTATTATATAACAAATTAATAAATAAATAAAATTCTAATTAATTTTATAAATGTTAAATAATTTAAAATTTTTATTAATATAACTTTTACTCTAATATTTTTAACAGTCATTTTCTCTTTTCACTACAATTCATCTCATCATCATCATTATTTTTACATTCAAATACATATCTCATCAATAATTTTAATCTCATTATTATAGTATTCAATCATATTATTATAATAATTAATATTATATTTATCATTATTTTTAATTTCATCAGAGTAATCTCACCGTCAATCCAAATGAGCCTTTATTGAAAATAATATTATCAACTATTGTAATTATGATATTAAAATTAGTAGTAAAATATGTATTTCAATATAAAAACAATAATGATAATGAAAAGAAAATTGCTCATTAACGGTATTAGATTAATATTTGTGTATAACAAAAATTTTAAATTATTAATAATTTATTATTTATGAAGTAATAAATTACTAAAATTATTTTTATGTCAAATAAAAGTTTTATTTAAAAATTGATAATTTTATTTAATAAAAATATTGACATTTTTTTATTAAAATAATAATTAAGATTTTAAATATTAAAAATTATAAAATACATTAAAAAATTTAATGTTTAAAAAATATATACTTATGAAAATTATAAATAATTATTTAACAAAATAAAATTAAACATATAAAATATAAAAAAATAAATTAGTTTAAATATAAATACAAAATAAATATAAAAAACAAAAAAAATAGAAACTAAAATTAATGGACAATATGGTAAAAGGTCCAGTGCACCGGCTTACTAGACCCTTTTAAGTACCATCCAAAAAGTTTTTTTTTTGTCTCGAGACTCTTTAATTTTCGAAATTTTGATTAATTTAAAGTCGAATCAAGTTACATCTTACGAGAATAAATTTTTTAAATTTATTATTTTTATTCACTAAATTTGAAATTAAAATTTTATTTAAAATGAATCGAACTCTTTTGCCTTTTATATCAATAGACATTAGTCCTATCCAAAAAGTACTGGTCAGTGGAGTTGGATACTTCACTGCACTGTCTGATGTCCAAACGATTTCAACTATCGCACTTGCACCAAAAAAAGGTACCGGATGACGCCATATTGAGGGTTCATTTGGATTCAATCATACTCGCGTTACAGTGCGATAGAGTAATTTTTTTGTGTAATTGCACTTAATTGATTGTTTGAATTATACAACTGTATTGCAGTTGTGCTAATGTGGCACCAGTGAGGTGATAATTTTTCACCAATGAAGTGAAAAATTTTCGCTGGTGGGGAAAGTGACAGTGAGCCACCGTAGCTCACCTTGGATACTTTTGTTTTCATTAATATTTTTTAATTCAATTTTATTCGTATATATAATTTTATTAAAATTAAAAAAATTATGAATGAATTTAAGAGTAATATTTTATTTTTATTCATTATATTTTTTATCTATTTATATCCTTAAGTAATTAATTTTTTAATGTTTTAAATGTTAAATAAAATTAAAATATGTATTAAAATAAATTTTTAATTTACTTTTTAATTAATATTTTTAATTATCATTATAATTTTTATTTTATTATCACTGCTATATTTACATTTAAGCACATATATCATTACTAATTTTAATTTTATTATTATAATAATTAATCACATCATTATTATTATTATTTTTAATCTCATTAAAATTAATCTTTATCGTCCATTCAAGTATACCACTTCTCAATTCAAATGTAACCTCAGTCATCCAGAACCAAAATCAGGGGAGTAAGCTGAGCTGGAAAAAAAACACGTAGCACAGAACAAGTTAGCCAACAAACAAGGAAAGAACTGGGAAAGAGGAAGGCAGGCGAGACTAACATTGGAATGGACAATATGAAAGTTGACGAATCAGTGCAGAAGTAACAAGAAGAAAAGGACAGACGCAGTAAATGTCGAAGCGGCGATGACTAGTTACCAGTCCTACCGCGAACAAAGAGACTCATGACATGAAACTATCATGTGCTTGGGAACCGCGTGTAATTAAACATTAGCATATGCTGAGGGAAAAAGCTCCTCATGTAGTTTTTCTCAGCAAGACAAAACCACATACAAATAAATTAGAAAGAATAAAAAGGAATAAAAAAAGTGTGGGATGAAAAAAAGTTGCAGAAGCAGTCCAAAGGAAAACGGTGGTGGGTTAGCCTTGATGTGGAAAGAAGAAATCAATCTCAATCTATCTAGCTTTCAAAGTACTACATAAACATGGAGG